GCTGGGCTGGGATCGGAGCTCTCACTTGGGGCAATAAAAGGATGTTAAGGTCAACTGCATTTCCCTTAAGTTTGTAATTTTGTCACCTACTTGGAAGTCCCGGTGGCTCCCAGCAGCGCAGCTGCGAGACGGGCAGAGCTGGGTTTGTGTGGTGACCGTGCACCAAGAGCTCGGGAGGGGGCTGGGGGCTTTGCCCCTGGCCCATTTAACAGTCCGGGTGCCTGCCCGCACCCCGGCACCTCACAGCTGGTTGTAAGGGCAGAGCTGGGATTGGGGTTCCCACAGGCCTCGTGGGGCACGACCTCAGCTCCGGAGGGGAGGGTGGGGGGACAGCACCAGCCTCAGCATGGGGGGGTCCCACCAAAAGGTGGCTGCACTCCTGGGTCGTTGGCTCTGTTTCTGCAGTGACCGATGTTGCTGACCCCTGGGTTTGTGGGCGCCCTCACCTCCCTCTTGTCCCTCCCCTCGCCAGTCCCCAGCACAGCTTGTCCTCAGTCCCCGGCACCGGCTGACCAGGGTGTGGGACAGGGGACCCCCCGGAAACACGGGTGGGTGGGCAGGTGGCTGGTGTTTGTGGTTTGCATTTTGCCTGGGATGGGAGGTTGTCATCCAGCATGGATACGGCAGAGTAAAAACCGGATTAAAAATAAAAGTCCAGATGGGTACTCGCAGATCCTCCCACGAGGACTGAGCTCTGACAGGAAAGGTCGGCTCTCTCTCTGTATTTTCGAGCTGTCCCGGCGCAGCCGCTGAGCCACAACTCGGTGCTTTCCCTTTCCTTGCAGCTACCAGGATGGCCGAGACGACCACTGCCCCCATGGAGACGCACACCCTCCTGAGCGAGCACGGGGACTACCACAACTTGTCAGAGCTCTTCCACCTCCTGAACTACACCTACGCCTTCTGCGAGTTCAACTTGGATGAGAACGTCAAGCGGGTGGTCCTCTTCATCCTTTACCTGGTCATCTTCGTGGTGGGCTTGGTGGAGAACCTCCTTGTCATCTGGGTCAACTGGCAGACGCGGGGCAACAAGAGCTTGGTCAACCTCTACATCATCAACATGGCCATTGCCGACCTGGGAGTGCTGCTCTCGCTGCCCATCTGGATGCTGGAGGTGATGCTGGATTACACCTGGCTCTGGGGCAGCTTCCTCTGCCGCTTCACGCACTACTTCTACTTTGCCAACATGTACGCCAGCATCTTCTTCCTCACCTGCCTGAGCGTGGATCGCTATGTGTCCCTGACCAACTCCTCCGTCTTCTGGCGTAAGCACCAGCACCACGCACGTCGCGTCGTCTGCGCCTGCAGTTGGGTCTTGGCAGCAGCCATCCCGTTCCTGGAGGTCGCTCACATGCAGCTGGTCAATACCGGAGACCCCATCTGCATCTTCATGGCCCCCTTCGAGACCTACGACGAGTGGGCGCTGGCGGTCAGCTTGGCCACCACCACTGTTGGGTTCCTCATCCCCTTCCCCATCATCGCCGTTTTCAACATCCTGACGGCCAGGTTCATCAAGCGCACCAAGCCGGAGAGCAAGAAGCACTGTCTGCTCATCTACGCGTACGTCGTCGTGTTCCTCATCAGCTGGCTGCCCTTCCACGTCATGCTCACGCTGCTCACCCTCGATGGCAACCACATCATCCTCCAATGCACCTTCGCCCAGTTCCTCTACTTCTTCTACGACATCATAGACTGCTTCACCCTGCTCCACTGCGTGATTAACCCAATCCTCTACAACTTCCTCAGCAAAAACTTCCACAGCAAGCTCATCGCCGCCGTCGTTAAGTACATCCCCAAAGACCAAGGGAGCCAGAAGGGCGCGGACAATTCCTCCTCCACCACGCAGCACTCCATAGTCATCGCAAAGGACAACAACCCTCCCAACTAAGAGGGATCGGACTCTCCCACTCACCACAGGCAAGGAGTTGCGGGGTGGGGGGGGGCAGCTCCCTGCACTCACCGAGGTCAGGAGGATTATTTATCCTGGTGATACGCAGACACCTTGCTTTGAAACTTCTCGGCCGGCCACCTCCTGTGCTCTGAAGGCAGGGCAGGGCGCCAAACGTGAAATGAGGTGGTGCGGGGAGCCACAGATGTCTTGCCTCGGAGGTGCTGCTCTATCAGATCTATTTACCTAAACAAAGAATATGAGAGAGAGAGATTTCCTGTTTTCCAAAAGAAACACTTGCAGTAATAAAGTGCATTATTCCTCCTGCTCGGAAATCTGAACCCAAACCTGGCCCCTGGGACCCAAGCCCTGTACTCCCCCCAAGCCATGGGGCTGGGGGCACACCATCCTTTCCCTTCACCACGAGTTTTTCTGCAGCCCCTGGCTCTCACACACAAGCCCTGGATGCTCCACACTGCGGAGGTGTCCGGTGAATCCTGATCCTCTGCCGTGACCCCATCCCAAGCAGGAGAGGGGGAATCCATTCCTTTGAAACCCAAACCTCTTCTCCCGGTGCCCCGCTAACAGCTGAAAGCCTGATTTTACAGAAATGAAGGCAATGCGTCCCTGGGGGGGGGCTGAGCACGACCCCAGCTTTAATGAGGGGAAGAATGATTCGAGACCCGCAGCTCCTTGAGAGCAATTTTCCAAGCCCAGCCGTAAATTAGGGATGGCTAAAACTGGGTTTGACTGGGCACGGCTGCTTCCAAACGTGACCTGTGGCAGCAGAGGTGTTCCCAGCTCGTGCTCGGCAGCAGGACACCCATCCCGTTACACCCAACCTCCTTTAGAGCATCTCCTGGCCGGTTTCTGATGCCACCGGGGCTATTTCTGAGCGTCGGCAGGCTCCGGCAGCCCTTCGCGCCCGCTCCCTTTCAATCAAAATCGCACCAAAGCGTGTCCCGTGGGAACACGTACGCATGCAGGAACCCTCGGAGCTGGGGTGCAGGCTGGGGTTTTGGCTGTGTAAGAAACCGGAGCATCCGGAGAAAGTTCAGCGCCGGCCAGCTTCTGCTAAGTCACGTGCTGCGGGTCAAGCCCTCGGCAGGGGAAGGTGAAAGAGCGACAAGTCACTGGGAGGGAGTCCATAAATCTACCCAAGGCCTTGAGCTGCTCAAGAAACACGTTTTTAAAAAAGCAAAGCATAAGCAAATCTCGGGACAGGATGCTCGCAGCACAGGGCGGGTGGGGAGCAGGATGTCCCGGCGGCGGGGGAAGCCCACGACCGGGGGGTATCACGGGACTGGCTGGGAACGGCTCTGCTACTCACAGGGGTCCTGCGACGGGGTAAATTGCTGGTCTCCTTGTGCACGGAGACGTTCCTTGTAACTACCCGGGGAGAGCAGCCAAAAACAACCAATCTGGGTATCACACAGAAACCCTTTGTACCGCAGCCGGGGAAGAAACCAGACCCTCAGGCACAACCCTGCGCAGGGAAGGAGCTCACGGCCGTTCCTCTCCCTCGAGGATGTCACTCACACACCAGTATCCCAACTGGTCGGCCTAGAGCCCCTTAGACTGTAGGTCCCCCCGGGCAGAGCTGTCCTTCGGGATCCGCACGGACACAGGACCTCACGCCCCGTGACCCTCCTGGGCACAGCGCAGGCAGCGGGGGCCGAGCAGCCCCAAAACCGGTCGGGGAACGCGACGGCAGCTCCACGCTGACGCGACCCACAGCTCTGATCCAGAATCTTCCTTGAGGCTGCCTTTTGCGGATACGCTGCCCTGTCCAGTGAAGAAGGGGAAGGTAAGTCCACGACAGCGACACTCGGGTTGCGCCCCAACTGGGACAACAATATATTCAAGTTACTTAAACATGTAAAATTTGATATTTGACCTATTAAACTTTTTTTTTGGTTCTTAAAAACTCTCCTAACATTCCTGTCACTTTGTCCTTAGACCGCAGGGCCAGAGTGACCTCAGATAAACCCCCACACCACCCCACGCAGTGATCTGGGCTGGACACCCAGCAAGGTTTAGCTGCATCCCCCAGTCTCCCTTTGAAGCCTTCACCACCCCTTTGGGTAACCCAGCCCAGCCACCGGCCCCTTTAGCAATTACCAAACATGTACCCCCAGACCACCCCCCCCAGCTTGAATTTCCAGTGCTGGTCACCGGCTTGGCCATGGTGACCTGTCCCCAAAGCAGCCCTGCCCGGGCAGCTCCAGCAGTGACCAAAGCCCGGCAGCCAGGTCACTCCAACCCCAAACCGAGAAGGAAGCCTCGCTGCTGGAGAAAAGCTTAAGTGGCTCGTGAAATCCCAGCAGCGTTTGCCCACTGACGCGGCTCTTGAAACCCCGGCGGTGCTTGCCCACGGCTGCGGCTTGCTAGCCAACAGCTCCGAGCCTGGGTGACACAGGTCTGGGTGACACAGCGCTGGCAGCACAGAAAAGGCTTATCACGGAGCACAAACCCCAGGAATTTCCTAAACGGCTTGTAACGCGGGCTCTGCTCCCACCCTGCTGCGGAAACAGTCGGCAGGGATGTCAGTCGGTGCTCCCCGTGCTGCTCCCGGTGCCGGAGGCGGCCGTGAGGAAGAGGCCCCGGCTGCCTGGACTCGTGCCACAAACCCTGCAGAGCCCAGGACAGGAGCAGGACACCGGGACG